GGAGCAAAATATGTAGAAGAAAAATAACAATGAAGAGAATAACTATAAAATACAAAAATCAGTCACACTAATCTAGATAGTATATTTACTGAAAAGAGTAAGAAAAGGGCGGGAGAGAAGGTTCAGCAGTTAAGAATACTGGCTGCTCTTTGGGAGGACCTGGGTTGGAATCCCAGCACTACCATGGCAGCTCACAACCATCTGCAATTCCACTGTCAGGAGATCAGATGCCCTCTGCCCACCTCAAGCCCCGTGTGCATATGGCACCCAGTCATATGCAGTCAGGACACATGTAGACATAAAATTAAAGTGTTTTTAAAATTATAAAGAAAAGAGTAAGACAATTTAGTAGCCCTTAGAAAAGTTCATTTTAAAAAAAAAGAGAAAAACTGAATAATACAAAAAATCAGAATTTTAGAGACTGGCTACCACTATTATGACCAGTGTTCAAGAGATTTACAGGCTGCTTTATATCATGATATTAGAGCCCTGCTAAAGGAGACAAATACCTTAAAAATGTTCACTTGCTAAAACAGACTCAGCGGTTAAGAGCATTGCCTGCTGCTCTTCCAGAGGACCAGGGTTCAGTTCCCAGCATCCACCCACATGATAGCTCACAATTGTCTGTAACTCCAGCTCCAGGGGATTTGACACAAACATACATGCAGGCAGAACACCAATACATATAAATAAAACAATACAGTGTTTTTAAAATGTTTTTTTAATTAAAAAAGCCTACAAAATACAAAATATGCTAGCTGGTCGGCAGTTAAGAGCACGTGCTGTTCTTGCAGGGGACTCAGGCTTGGTTCCCAGCACCCACAAGTCAGCTCACCACTGCTCTCCAGTTCTAGGAAATCTAATGCCCTCTTAGGTGTCCGCGTGCACCAGGCATGCATGCAATTTACTTACATATATGGAGGCATTCATACCTACATATGAAATAAAATAAGATTTATTTTAAAAAAAGCGGGAAAATATGAGTGATGCTACTGTTCAATGCTGTCAACCATTTAAGAAAGAAATATCAACTATTCTTATACAATTTCCCCCAGAAACTTGAGTTTATTTTCTAAATCCAGGGTGGTTAATGAAATCTGAACTGTACAAAGTCAGTACAGAAAAAGAAACAGATGGGCTGATATCCCTTGTCAGTCCAGACACGAAGACATTACCAAATCAAATCTACCAATATGTAAAAAAAAAGTTATGCCAACTCTTTGCTGCCAGACCTGCGCCATCAAGGGTCGCACGCATGCTCCCGGTAAGGGCCTGTCCCAGGCATCACTGCCCTACCCCCTTAGCGTCCACATGTGGCTGAATCTGACAACGTGAAGGAACAAATTTACAAACTGGCCAAAAAAGACTTCACTCCCTCCCAAATAGGCGTGATCCTGAGAGACTTACATGGTGTAGCACAGGCCCGTTTTTTGTGAGTGGTAATAAAACCTTGAGAATCCTTGAGTCCAAAGGCCTTACCCCTATTTCCTTGAGAATCTCTAACATCTGATTAAGAAAGCAGTCGATACATCTTGAGAGGAACAGAAAGCTTAAGGATGCTAAATTCCGCCCAATTCTGATATAGAGCAGAATTCACCGGCTGGCTCGTTATTGTAAGACTAAGTGGGTCCTCCCACGCAATCGGAACTATGGGTCATCCAAAGTCTCTGATTTAGTGCCATAAATTCTCCTGTATACACGAGCAATAAAATAACTTTGAATATAAAAATATGACAAATGTAGTCCAAGAATTCAAGCAACGTGCAACATCTGAAAGTCCTCAAATTATTTAACATCAGGAAAGAGAAAAACCATAAGATCACCTCCAAGATAAAAAAAAAAAAGTTCACCTGATAAATTCCAACTGTCATTCATAAAAGTTCTTAACAAACTAGGAGTGGAAGGGAGTTTGAAAAGTTTGAAAAGGGTATCTATTATATAGATATAGATATATAGAAATAGATATAGATATAACTGGGTGGCTAATAACTCTGTCTCCAGGCCCAACAACCTCAGTTTGGACCTATGCATCCACATGATGGTTGGTGAAAACCATCTTCTGCACATTACCCAGTGGCATGTGCAGGTGTGTTTGCAACACACACACAAATAAACTAAATGTGATAAAAAAATGTTAAAACTACCACAAATATCACGTCAAAGGACCCAGAAATCTCACTAGAAGATATGTACTCAGATAATAATATTTTATTTTGATTTTTTGATACTTTCCTTCCAAGGCTGAGAATAAGACAGACATGTTAGCTTTTCTAAACCATTTCCATTGAATGGGGCACTAAGAGGCAATCCCAGCCAGGGCAATTAAGTAGGAACTATAATTAAAAGGCATTAAAGATTGGAAAAGAAGAACTAAGATTTTTTTTTTTTTAGTTTCAGATAAAATGATTGCCTACACACAGAACTCTAAATAATCTATATTGAGGTCATAGTATACAAATGTAACAAGATTATAGACTCCTTGACCAGTGGACAACACTCGGTAATATTTATATGAGGATGTAGCAAGCAATTCCAAAGCAACAGAATGGGAACAAGTTTCACCAGTAATAGCATCCAAGTGTTTCAGAAAACATTTACAAAAGGTGTGTGGTACCTCGTGAGGTGGTGATTATGGAAGAGAGGGATGGAATGGTATTGTCGGGAAGAGGGTGTTTGTTGGGGATGGAAATGTGTACAGTTATTGGAAAGATTGTGGAGGCTCTGCACAAACAAAAGGTAGAACTCTTAAACGATCCAGAAATCTTGGTCTCAGGTTCAGACTCAGATCAGATCACCAAAACTGTTGTTTAAGGATAAGTTTGCTTATGTCCACCCTATAAAAAGAAGGAATTCTATCATTCACCAGCACATGGATGGACCCAGAGGACACTATGCTAATAAAACATGCCAGATATGCCAAAGGGAAGGAGGTAGCATGGTCCATAGAGCAGTGGTTCTTAACCCTCCTAATGCTGCAGCCCTTTAATGCAGTTCCTCATGTTGTGACCCCCAAACCAGAAAATTATTTTCATTGCTACTTCCTAACTTAAATTTTGCTACTGTTATGAATCAAAATGCAAATATCTCATATTTCTGATGGTCTTAGGTGACCCCTGTGAAAGGGTTGTTCAACCCCCAAAGGGGTCACGAGCCACAGGCTGAGGACCATTGATATATGGTATTGGATACAAAATCTCCCCACCTCATCGTTGACAGTAGACTTGACTTCCAGGGGTAATCAAACAGCATAAGCACTGTCACTGTCTTGTGAATCTGGGCTCGTGTTTCCTGCCATCTCTGTCCTGTTATAAACTCACCCCTACTCGTTCTTCTTCCTCTTTGCTGTTCTCTGCAGCGAATGTCTCCATTGACTCAAAAGTGGGTGACTCATGGCTCTGTCTTAATCCTGACAGCATAGACCAAGAACACCTAGGAGAGACCAATAGGGTACAGTGTCTCCCAACAGTACTGGGAGCTGCTTCTTGTAAAGCTAACATTATTTGAGCCAATCAAGGAGAAGCTGAGTGATTTGAGAGAAGTCAGATTTTCTTTATTTTTCCAGACAGTGTTTCTCTATTATGTAGCTCTGGCTGTCCTGGAACTCGCTATGTAGAATGGGCTGGCCTCAGAGTCACAGAGACCCACTTGGCTCTGCCTCCCAAGTGCTGGGATTGAAGAGTATACCACCACACTGAGCTCCAAAAGTTACAGATTCTTAATAAACTAAATACTTTATTTGGGGACCAGAAACCTTACTGAATCATCTCAGGCTTTAGGCAACACACTTCCTTGAGACACATTCATCATTCCCCCCCCCTCCCCAAACAAATTTTGTTTGGGGTTGTGGCTTAAGAAGCGAGCTGAAACAGATGTGAAGAAGTTTGATCAGTGATGTCCTGTGCTGGAGATCTGAAGGCCTGCGGCAGATGGAAACTCTAACTCTTGTTATCTTTGTTGTTGTTGTTGTCGTTGTTGTTTTTCAAGACAGGGTATGAATACATAGCTCTGGCTGTCCTGGAACTCACTGTGTAGACCAGGATAGCCTCAAACTCACAGAGATTTACCTGCCTCTGCCTGAGTACTGGGATTAAAGACATCACTATGCCTGATATATGCAGTATTCAATATATGTTTGATATATTCAATATATATTGAAATTGTCAAAATGCACAAATTAAGTTTCAATACACTGATGTAAACAGATGAGGCCATTCAGTGTGTTGTGTGTGTGTCTGTGTGTGTGTGGTTTTGAGACAGGGTTTCTCTGTGTAGTCCTGGCTGTCTTCGAACTGACTCTGTAGACCAAGCTGACCTCAGACTCAAGAGGTCTACCTGCCTTTGCTTGTGCTGGCATTGAAGTGCATCACCAGGGCCCAGCAACAGCATCCAGTCTATTATTTCCTGTTCTGGGTTCTCTGATATAGCTTGAAAGCATAGGAACTATATATATATAACAAATGCAAGAAGAGGAGGAAGAGGCCTGACCATAGTAGCCACCTTCTGAGTCAGCTCCTCCAGGGGCAGAGGCTGGAACTCAAATGTCTTCTAACTGAGCAGTTGGACATGGAGGGCGCAGGCAGGTGTTCCTACCACCAGCTCTATGTTGTCCAGTTTGAGCAGCTCGTCTGCAGGCAGCAAGGGGCAGGTGGCCAGTGAACTCGGGCTTTCCTTGGTGGTACAAATAGTGTTCTAAACGGTATAGAAGAACAGATTTATCTTCTGTTACTAGGGTGACAGTCATAGTATTAGGCAGAGTATGAAGGGGCAGGCAAACTATTGAGTATTATGAGGTTTTATAATCGTGGACATATCCATGACTTGAAAACTACAATGAAAATACCATGATACTTTAAAAAACAAAAAAAGGGTGGTGACTCATAGCTGTGCTCCTGGGCTTCAGGAAAGGAATCGGATGATATTTAGCTCCTCCCACAAAAACTTCTATAAAGTTTTCCACTAACCGAGGAGCTCGAGCAGACAGTTCCCGCCAAGTAGGATGCTGTAGGACGGGAATTCAGAGAACTTTTCTGAACTGAGGAAACAGCTCTTCGTGGATTTTGAGAAGCCGCGGGATCCGGAATCAGCGCAACCCTAACTCCAAGAAGTCTCCTTTACCCCGCGCTCCCTCAGCCTCTGCGGCCTGGGCAGGTCGCACCCCAGGTCCCAGGCCAATCCCGGGTCGCAGACCTCGGCCTAGGGTCCCAAAGATGCGCAAGTTACCAGCCGTCCTCGTCCTGCTACTGGTGAGTATCGCCCGGGGAGAGCGCCGCGCCCGCTGAGAGCGCCATGCCCGCTGAGAGCGCCATGCCGGGTCCCAGAGCAGGAAGCAGGGAGTTGCGCAAAGTGCCTGCCGCTGGAGCGCACGTGCCCTATGGGCGCGCGGGGTGGAGATCTGACATTTTTGGGGGACACCACTGTGGAGGAGGGAAAACTCGACGGTGAATGGTGGAAGGTCCGATGGTTGGGTGGCGGTATGGAACCCCAAGATGGGGTCAGGCAGGGTGTGGAAGAGGTGGGCGGAGGACTCTTGATTGGGGAGGATATGAGGAGGCTGCGCTCCACTGGGGGGAGGATGGTAAGTGAGGGAACCCAAAGGTGGAAGGCAGGATCTGACTTTAGGTGGGAGACTGGGCCAGGGCGGAGAGGAGAAAGACCAAGGTGGGCGGGGGTGGGGGGCGGCGCAGAGAGGTGGGAAGGAAGGAACCAGCCAACTCAGTGAAACAAACCAGAGCAGCATACCTGGAACTTGCTGGGGCAGGGGAAAAGAACCCGGTTACCCTGCAGAACCCACGGGGCAGAAAGAATTTAGAAACGGGCTGGAGGGTTGACCCTGCCTAGCTGCTGGAGCTGGCCTCTGACACCTCTCTTCTCAAGGCTAGGAGAGAAAAGTGCCTGATTTTGACTTTAGCTGGAAGAACGTGCGAGCTCATTTACAGTGTGACACTATTGTTTATTTGGCTCAGCAATTTATTGATTTAAAAGGAGTAAAAGGGCCCGTAGGGCAAGAATCTGGACTTTTGCTGTCTGCTAGCACGAGATTACTGAGGGGGAATTCCATTTCCTTGGAGTCCACCGATTCTAATTTCTAATAGTCAGAGAGTCACACAAGTGTCTCTTTAGACATACACACATTTATATTCATTTTTGCCAGGCTGGTTACAGTGCTCCACCTTCTGTTTTAATACTTCACTGTTGAGGTGGAACATGCCTATGTTTGAAAAAAGAATAAAAGTAGGAACCAAGGTTAGGACATGTTCGGTTAGTGCCAGGGAGCCCTGCGTAAGAACCATGTCTTCCGTACTCTCTTGGCTTTCAGCTACTTTTGGTACTACTTTTTTAGCTACTTGAAAAAAAGGAAGGAAGGAAGGAAGGAAGGAAGGAGAAGAGAAGCAGAGCAATGGTTGCCAGCATGGAAAGGTGGATGGAGGAGCAAGCGGTTTGCTATTTTAATGGGTTCCGACTTTCAGTTTTGGAAGATGAAAAGAATTCGGGATTTGTTTACATGACATTGTGAATGCTGGCCTAGATGTAGATGTAAGTATACGTAAATGCATTTTTTAAAAACTCTGTGTGAGCAGAAAAAAATAACGACATCTTGAATTTTGCAGGAAAATGGATGGAGCTAGAAAACATTATTTTGAGTTTGGTAACCCAGACACAGAAAGACAATTATCACATGTACTCACTCATAGGTGGTTTTTAAACATAAAGCAAAGAAAACCAGCCTACAAACCACAATCCCAGAGAACTTAGACAACAATGAGCACCCTAAGAGAGACTTAACATAGATCTAATCTACATGGGAAGTAGAAAAAGACAAGATCTCCTGAGTAAATTGGGAGCATGGGGATCCTGGGGGAGGGTTGAAGGGGAAGGGCAGAAACAGGGAGGGGAGCAGAGAAAATTGCAGAGCTCAATAAAAATCAATTTTAAAAAGCCTCAGTGTGTGTGCACATTCAATGAGTTTGTGTGAGGGCAGCCTCCCGTGTCAGCCCTTACCTACCTCTTTGAGGCAGGATCTCTCTTGTTCTCCATTGAGTATGCTGCTTGCTGTCCCATGAGCTTCTAGGGGTTCTCCATCTCCTCCTCCCATCTAGAGCCAGGAACCCTGGGATTTCAGATGTGTGCAATTGTTGCTTGGCTTTATATGAGTTTTGGGAATCTGAGTCCAGGTCCTCATGTTTGTGTGGCAAGTGTATTATCCGCTGAACCATCTCCTCGGTTCTTAACTGCATTTTAAAAACCTCCCCCCCCCCCCCCCGTGTGTGTGTGTGTGTGTGTGTGTGTGTGAGAGAGAGAGAGAGAGAGAGAGAGAGAGAGAGAGGGAGAGGGAGAGAGAGAGAGAGAGAAGAGTCACTCATATGATTAAGTAGTTACATGGGAAACAAGACAGTATATTAGAGGATGTGTGTCATTTCTAGTTGACAAAATGTAATTTTTAAAAGCTTTCCTCTAATTTTCTACTATACGGATACAAACTTAACTCGTTTCAACAGGAATGAATAAAAAAGAGAAGAGGAGTTCAAGTTTCTAGGACTTGGGCAGCTGCAAGGAGCAAAGAGGAATAGGAACACAAAAGTACTGGACAGTTTAGAAGGGAGGGAGGTCTGAGATCCATGTCGTTTTAGAAGCTGGAGGGAAGGGAATGTGAGATGGCCCCTTGTTGGTGAGGCCCACAGCCAGTAAAGGCAGTTCCTTCTTTGTTTCTACAGAGCATCTTCTGCGGAGTGCTAGCCAAGTCAGTCCGTCATCACCCAGCTGACCTCCAGAATGTGCAGCAGAGCCCATCAGAAGGAAAATGCCAACCAGGTGCATTCTAGATTGATTGCTAGTCTTTGGCCATGACCCCTCCCCTCCACAGCTCCATATTCTTTCAGTCTTCTGGTCTTTTCAGTTCCGATTTCTTTTATGCCATAGATATTGATATTTTCTAAATCCAAGGTCATGAAGATTTATCTTCATGTTTTTATGAGTTTGGTAATTTCTATGCTTCTATTTATGTGTTTATATGCAGTATCAGGTAAGGGTGAAGTTTCCCTATGGTATTGGGCTATCCAGTTCCTTTCTCTTTTCTTTCTTTTATTTCATAATTTTTTAAAAATATTTATTTATTTACTTATTATGTATACAAAATTTTGTCTGTATGCCTGAGGGCCAGATGAGGGCGCCAGACATCTTTACAGATGGTTGTGAGCCACCATGTGGTTGCTGGGAATTGAACTCAGGACCTTTGGAAGAGCAGGCAATACTCTTAACCACTGAGCCATCTCTCCAGCCCCTTTCTCTTATTTCTTTTTTCATTTCTTTTTCTTTTTCTTTTCTTTTTTTTTTTTTTTTTGTTTTTTGAGACAGGGTTTCTCTGTGGCTTTGGAGCCTGTCCTAGAACTAGCTCTGTAGACCAGGCTGGTCTCAAACTCACAGAGATCCGCCTGCCTCTGCCTCCTGAGTGCTGGGATTAAAGGCGTGTGCCACCATCGCCCGGCTTTCCTTTCCTTTTTCTTCTAGATCTAACCCAGGGCCTCACTGATGCCAGATGAGCACATTACCATAAATCTGGAGCCCCAGCTCTGCTACTCAGTTACTGTCCACTTATTGCACTGTGTGATTTCTGGGGATGCTACAGTCATGGAACCGTACAAACCAGCTGTGTTCGCATTCTCTTCACACATCTTAACTTTCCTTGGAACCTTAGGTGGCTCCCAGCCTGGTCCTATACCGGAATTATCAAGGTCGGAGTCTGAGTTCTGGAAGTCCTGGCAAGGCAGGCTCTACCATCATCCTCAGTAATTTTGCCAATCAACAGAGTCATTGAATGATACTGGAAGTTAGAAGAATGGAAATTTTTCCATTGTGGCCATAGTGGAAACAGACAGAGGATCTATGTGACCCCCCACCCATCTTTGCCATGAAGTCTAGGATTAAGTTTTATGTTACTTTATTTTCCTAATTTTTAATGATTTGTTTATTTTTATGTACATTGGTATTTTTGCCTGAATGTATCTCTATGCAAGGGTGCCAAATCCCCTGGAACTGGAGTTACACACAGCTGTGAGCTGCCATGTAGGTGCTGGGAATTGAACCTGGCTCCTCTGGAAGAGCAACCAGTGCTCTTAACCACTGAGCCATCTCTCCAACTACCAGAATTATTGACCCATTCCTGTTTTGGCCCCATTAAGTCCGGCAAGGTGGTCTGACAAGTTGCAAATCTCTTTCCTTACAAGTTTCTGTCTCTACCCAGCCATGGGTTTCATCCTTCTTCTTTCCCCAGTACAAGATTTTCAGTTTGTTGGACCGCGGTGTCTCAATAGTTGTATAGTCTAGGGTAGAGGTCACAAGTGTCTCTTTAGAATGGCCCCATTCATTACAACCTTGCAGGCTCTGGCTGCTCCCTATGCCCGAGAGCACCACTGCAGAGATAAGCTTCCTAAAGAAGCTGCCAAGCTGCCTCCAGGCCTTGGACCTTGCCCGGGCAGCACAATAGAGCCAACCTGTTGGGCAGGTGCAGGTAAGAGAGCCCTGAAACTGTGAACATCTGTCTTGTGGCAGCATAGGCAGGGCAGGGTGGGCAGAGAAAATGCTCTGTAGACATGCCCACAGTCAAATTTCTCAATTGCGACCCCCGCTTCCCAGGTCTGTCTAACTAGGACACAGGTCTTCCCTGCAGCTCCGGAAGTCCTGAAGTTCCCTTCACCATCTTTCTTTCCCTCCTCAGGGTCCTACCTGTCAGAAGAGGATGGTTGTGTGCCCTGCATGGAAGGTATAGAGTATACCAGCCACGCCAACAGTCTGCCTTCGTGCATAAAGTGCAGCATCTGTCTGGCAGGTACAGAACAAAGGGGCTCTTTCCCACAAGTGTGGTCTGGGGAGGTGGGACTCACAACTGCTGTGGACTCAGAAATCTCAATTCCAGCCCAATTTGCTCTTTATCCCACCCTGTTCTCCACCTGTCCATAATTCAATGGGACAAAAATTAAAAACAAAAAAACCAAAAACCCTGGAGAATTAATTTGTGCGGTGTTTTAGGAATCGTTGGGACCATCAGTGGAGAATAAGGTGGAAATTAATCTGCCACTGTGGAGAGCAGGGCCTGGTACCCCCAGATGCATTATGGGGCAGTTGCCACTGCCGCACCACTCACTACATATAACTTGGCGAACAGAATCGCCCTGGTGCCGGCTGTGCCAGGACTTGTCCTGAGGAGTGGCGGGGCTCCACAGGGCACACGATGTTAGAAATGGACCTTGAAGGATAGATACAGGGTTTTAAGTGGACCAGGGAGATCTCAGCCAGAGTTCCAGCGCTGAAGAGGAAAGAGCCCTGCATATTTTGAATAGGGCATTAATTCCATTCTGGGTCCAGCATGAGTCTCTTCAACTCTGCAGTGGGTTTGCTACCCAGTAGAAAATCTTGAGATACCATGGTAGTCTCCTGCTTTGCATTTTCTAGAAGTTGACGGAAAAAGTGTGGGTCATGGGATGTAACACCCGCTTCAAAAGGAAAAGAGCCACTGAGAGTCTCCCCTCTGTCCCTGTGGTCAGTCTCCAGCTATGAGTGACGTGTTATGATGTATCCTTGCCCTAGGGATGCATTAGCTTTTTTCGTAATATTGGCTGCTTTCCAGTCCTCTGAGACCTGAGACCACTCCTTCTAGAACCTTCCACAGAAACTTCAAGGGGCTTTCTTCTTTCCTGCTGTGGGCCTGCTAAAGTGTGGAGGTCATAGGCTATTGTTTTAGTTTCTTTTCCTGTTTGCTGAGACAAAAGCTCTGTCAAAAGCCAAAGGAAGAGAGGGTTGAACTGGCTTGCAGTTCATCCATCCATCAGTGCAGTGAGGTCAAAGTGGGTAGGAGCTTGAAGCAGCTGCTCAACTCCCGTTTTCAGAATAATAGGTTTGTGTGCTCAGCTCACTTTCTCCTGTTTATATAGTTCAGGAACCTAGTCCAAGAATGGTAGCACTCAGTGTGTAGGAATCTTCCCACCTAATTAGTGTAACCAAGATAATATCTCCACAGACTTGCCCAGAGGCTGTCTCCCAGCTGATCCTAGATCTTATCAAATAACAAAGGAGATTAACCATCTTAGTCTGTAACAAAGAAAGGAATGGCTGAGTGGGGGCCTGCTGGGTTCCCAGCTGGCTCTAGACTAGGCTCTCTTGTTCTAGGTTCTGAGCTCTTGGTAGGTGTGAGCACTCAGTCCCTGCTTCTTCAATCTTCTCCTGTTTCCAGGAGCGTGAAGAGCGCCCTCTGTACATCCCTTGCTCCTGTCATCATGATCTAAATGAACTGAACATTCCTCCCAAATCCGATGCATGAGGTCATGAATGGTGTTCCTTTGGTTTAACTCTGGGTACTCAAATATGCTTCTGGGAGCCATTGTCTGCATGCCCTGGCTGTGGTGTAATAGGAACAGGTCCTCGTTATTACTTCCTACGTTCAGTGGAGCTGAAACAGAAGGAACTGTGTCAGAAGGAAGTGTTACCCTGATAACCAAGAAACTTCATCCCTCATACTCTTACAGATGAAGATGAAATAGCGAGATGCAACTCCACCCAGGACACCAAGTGTCAGTGCAAACCAGGCACGTTTAAAGATGAAAACTCTCCTGAGTTCTGCCAGAAGTGCTCCAAGTATGTCACTGGGCCCTGGAACTTTTACAATCCCAGGAAACCCCAGAAAACTCAACCTTCCTTGTATCCTTTCGTTTCCTTCCGACTCCATGGAGAACCCACGCTACAAGGTGTTAGGATTCCCACATTATAGCGGCCCCGTGCCCCCCTGACAGCGGTATCCCCAAACATTTGGGGTCTTCTGAGCCCACTGTGGTCTCTCCACATCCAACTGTAAATCTCTCCGTGTTCCTGTCCCCCACCACCAATCCCTTCAATTTTCCACCCGTTCTTTTCCCTTGGCCAGATAATTTGTCCCCTCTCCATAGAATACAGCAAGAGAGTGAGTAGCATACAGCCTGGCTTGTGTGTATTTACACCACCTCAGATTCTTGAGACCCCTAGGAAGAAGAAAGTGCTGCAAGCCCAAAAAACACATAATGAGGCTCTGTGTGTGTGGCCTCCTCCGGGGTTCTCAGAGGCACCTGACCCAACTCAGCTAACCTCGCCCCCAGGACCCAATCCCGTCAGTAACCCTTGTCTCAACTTCAGGAGTTTGAAGGAAAATAGTTCATTTACTCTTCCCTGACCACCTGGTACAAAGGTCTGCTTATTGAAGGCTGATAAAGGGACATGGCTCAGCGGTGACCACACAGGCCCTTTCCTAACTTAGGCCCTCCTGAGGCCCAGAGCCACTCAGCACACACCCTGCAGAAAAGGCAGAAAGGTTGCCACCATGCCTACAGAAAGTTCCCCCAAAGACTACACTGTGTGTGTCCGGATGTAGGGACAAATTTGGAGCCTGTCCTTCCTTTACTACCATCTCTGGGACACTGGGTAGAGTGAGTGCCTCCCCTTCACCACTTCTGACCAGCAGCTTTCTCACAGAATCTTATTTCTTCCTTGTTGTGCCCAGGTGCCCTGATGAAGAATCTGAAAAGACTTCCTGTACCCCGAAAACAAACCGAATGTGTGTCCCCAAAGACTCTCAACTCAACTTAGGCCTCATCATAGGGTTCGTAGTGGCGGGGCTGCTGCTGCTGCTTTTTCTTGCAGGTTTCTGGAAATCTGGGGCATGGGGGCGAACATTGCAGTTGGTGAAAAGAGCCTATCCAGGTGAGTGTTGGCTGTGGTGGGTCCCTTGGACACCAAATCTGAATCTCTCTAACCTGCTCTTCTCCTTCAGAATTGCCCTCCCTGTGTCCTGAACTCCATTGTCCTTGAAGCCTAGACCTCTCTTTTGCTCCTGCAATTGATATACCATCTCCCACTTCCCCCAAACCACAAAAGCCCGGAATCTTACCAGTCCATCTCACTGATGGTTCCCTTGCTCTTTTAACCAAGTCTGAGAGAGTAGACATCAACTCCTCAACTGAGGATAAAGGTCAGGACAGGAGAGAGCCAGGGACAGCTCTGGTTCCTGCAGAACCAGAGATTGTGTGTGTGTGTTCCTTCAGTTTCTCCCCAGCTGCCTCCTTGGGTAGCCCCAAGCAAGAATGACCCCTCCCTCCCGATCCAGTATTGGAGCATCTTGCTCACTCTGCTCAGATAAAAAAAAAGGGGGGGGGGCTGATGAGTCCCCTGCCCACTGGCTATGGCAACCTCCTTCTCTTCTAGGCCGTGAACAGCACTCTGAAAATTCTGTGCCTCTCACGGAACTGCGGACATCCAACCCGGAAAATGACTCTCCTGCAGTGAAGGCCTCAGAGGTTGTAGCTCTGCTGAGAAGCAGAGTTTTTTTTTTTAATTTTCATTTACAATTTTATGCATATGAGTGTTTTATCTACATGCATGTCTGTGTGTCACATGCATGCCTGGTGATCATGGAGGCCAAAAGAGGACATTGAATCCTCTGGAACTGGAGTTTACAGCCAGTTGAGTTGTGGGAATCAAACCCAGGTCCTCTGGAAGAGCTGCCAGGGCTCTTAGCCACTGAGCCATCTCCCCAGCCCTGAGAAACAGGGTGTTTGAGGGGCTGCACAGCTCAAGGAGAAGGGTACATCTCCACCTGTCCTGGGTTGCTGTCCTGGCTCACTAAAGTGATTGAAGCTCCAAGTCCCCTTTCACGCAAGAGGCTATTTTGAGCTTCCTCAGGCCTCAGACCATGTTGCAACTCTGTCTGCTTCTGCTTGTGCGGTCAGGCGGGAGTGTGGCCACCTTGGCGTGGTAGTAAGAGCACAAAGTTCCAGCAGCCGATCATGGCTGTGTGAGCCTAAGGTGGCCGCACTGAGATGGGTGGGACCCTGCACAGGGCCTTGGGTGTGGGCTCCTGAGTGGCCTCTTTGCCTTCTCAAAGCCATTTCCACACACTTGGGTCCCTCAGGAGGATCTGCAGTTCAGGGAGATGGTCACGCTGAGCCCCTAAGCAGCAGAGAATGGCCGTCCACTCTTTTTGAGCATATATTGGACAGACAATGGCTGGGATAGGAGTCCCTGGAGACAGTGCTGGTTTGTTGACCACGTGACTGTTGTCATCAGATCCTCTGGTCCAGGGGATGGAGAGACAGGGCGACAATGGACAGGATGCACATGGCCAAAGTGTGGTGGCTGAGCCATTCTGTAAAATATGCTGAGTATCTGTGATATCCATGCTGTGTCCTCAGAGCCTGGGGCAACATGGACATGGAGCAGATACTGTGGCCAAGAGGGGCTGAGTTCTTGGATTTGATTTTTGTTTAACATTTTGGTGCCTCACACATGCTAAACTTCACGGCTGAGCTACACCCTCAGTGACTTTGCAAAAGCGTTTTATTGGGACAATAGATCCCTAAGTTGCCCAGGCTGGCCTCAGCTTTGCTTTTCTGTCTGAGCCTCCAGAGTAGTTTTAAGCATTTTCACATACGTTATCCTAATGATATTAAGAGCGTTGTAAGAAAAAAACATGCTTCCTATGTAAGTATTTTCTCTCATGTGGGTAATAGGTCTCTAGTTTCTTATATTACACATATATGCTCGTATGTGTTTACATGTATGTAGGCATTAGCATGTGGAGGCCAGAGGTCTTGGTCAAATGTTTTCCTCACTTCTCTTCTTCACCTCGCTATGTTCTGAGGCAGGATCTTTCCCTGGATCTGGAACTCACAAGCTGAAGTGGCAGGTCAGCAGGCCTCAGGGATTCCCTGGTCCTCACCTTCCATATGCTTGAATCATAAGTGCGGGCAGCCATGCACATCTACCCCCACAACACAAGCTTTTTAAATTTTATGTTATGTGTATGAGCGTTTTGCCCGAATATATGTATGTGCACCCTGTGTGTTTTCAGAGCTTAAGGGGTCATAAGAGGGTGTCAAATCCTCTGGAACTCTCTGGCTGGGCTTCATGGCATATTAGGCATCGGGACTCAGGCCTCATATTTCTGCGGCAAGCACTTTACTGACTGAGCCATCTCCGCAGCCCCCATGTTCCTATTTTTATCCTTCAGTTTGTTCTAATATTTCATTTTGAACTGTTAAAATCAGCAGATACATTTGCTTCCCGTTACTCATAGGCTCCCCAAACCCTTCCCCCAAAGTAAGATGAGCCTCTGATTTCTGATCGCCTGTGACTACCAGTTGTTATGACTACCTTGTTATGCCCAGCTTACAACCGGGTCTTTGTTTCAGGAGTCTGTGTAGGACTAACTTGTTATGCTCATGTTCTGCCCCTGTAAACCCAGCTATTTTGTCTGCCAAATCCCCATTTGGAAACCCCCTACTCTGATTTTTGTAAAGCTTTGTCTCCCTCACATCCAGTGCTGAGCTCTCAAACTCAGTATTAGGGTGAGGGAGCCTGTGTACACAAATAAAAAAGCTTATTTTAATTAGGTCAGTGATCTTTCTCCTCCCATGTTTGGGATTAATAGTATTCTTTGGTTCCAAGATGGTTTTGTTTGTTTGTTTGTTTCATGGCAGGGTTTCTCTAGCTTTGGAGCCTGTCCTGGAACTAGCGGTTATGGACCAGGCTGGCCTCGAATTCACAGAGATCTGCCTGCCTCTGCCTCCCCAGTGCTGGGATTAAAGGCATGTTTCACCACTGCCCAGCTCCAAGTTGTTTTTTAAAAAGCCAAACTTAGGGACTGGAGAGCTAGCTCAGCAGTTAAAAGTGTTTGCCGCTCTTCAGAGGACCTGGGTTCAGTCCCCACCACCTGCACTGTGTGGCTCACAACTGCCTATAATTCTATTTCCAGAGGACCTAACATCTTCTTCTGGCCTCCGCAGCGCCCTCTCTCATACACATGACAGACATCCACATAGACCCACATAAACATAAATTTAAAAAACCTCTTAAATGGTCAAATTTAATATTCAGTTGTACCAAATACCCTGCCAGCCCCCATGCTATTAATGTTTTCATTTCCATACTTAGACAGTTGATGTATGTGTTAATATTATTGACTAAAACACCTGTAAGGCCTTGATACAAACCTGACCTTGGATTTTGCAAAGCTCTCTTTATAGTCTCCAACTGAGCTTTTTAAAGAAGCCTGGGGCAGAGATGTTGGCCCGAAGGGAATCCCCAGAGGATGGGGGACTACTCGGTCTTGACTAGGCTTATATGGTTGTCCACTTGTCACAGAACATTTAAGGTGAGCATTTATGCCGCACTAGGCCACCAACATCAAGCACCTTCAAGCAACAGAGACAGGAAGCTTATCTTAGAGGGGCAGTCTTGTAAGTCTGGGAATCAGGATCAGGCCTGGGCCCCAGGTCTCCTGACTCTGACCAGGGTGCCTCTGCTGTATGTTTACAGGAATCCGAGGAAGCTCCGGATTCTCCAACAGAAGCTGAGTCTCTAGTTCCGGCAAATGGAATCGACCCAATTGACGGTGAGTGTTTTCTATGAGGCAACAATAGCACAGCAGCCCAGGGAATAGGATAAGTATTCCAACTGTCATTCCCATGGCAGTGCTCTGCCGAGATAACTAATGATGGGCGCAAACCCTAAACTGTTGCCACTGGACTTAGGGGCCATTAATCCCCCTCTCCTCCCTTCTGTCTCCACTGGGACCAGTACCTCATATGGTATTGTTAGAATCTGTTTGTCCTTCTGCTGTCCCATCATCCCTCCCTTCTCTCTTGTAGTCACAACCTCTGCCCCCACTAGGTCCTCCAGAATGGTGCACTGGCCTGTGTTAATACCCATGGTCCTTAGAGTAGAAGCTCTCGGCAGGACCAGACTTGGTTTGATGAGCTTTACTACAAATCACAAACCTGACTTCAGAGACATCATGCAAAACTAATGGAAGCCATCTCATGAATCATGTTTCAGATATCAACTACACGAGTTGATGAATTTTCTATGTATTGAGTCGAATCAAATGGTACTTGTTTCCTTTCATATTTCGTTAGTTAGCTAGTAAGTAAGCTAGTTTTCCATGGGCTCTGGGAACAGAACTTAGGTCCTCTGCACGAGCAGTATGAACCTTCAACCAGTGGGCTCACTCGGCCCCCACACTCAGCACTGTAATGCGTGAGACCGAAGCCAGGGTTTGAGTATACTGGGTAAATACTCTACTCTTCCAGATAAGCTACACCTCTAAGCCTCCTGTCATTGGTTAAATAACGCTGTTAGAATATGTCCTTGTGACTCCTGGAGCTAGTGGAACTCCTGTTCCTGCTCCTTCTGTTTTTCAGGATGGAGGGTGACACATGGCATACATACTTCAGTTACATCATCCCAGCCCCAGAAGGGAGTTTCCAGTACTCAGCTACAGGTTCGAGTTTTCAGTCATCCTTTCCAACCATCTAGTAGCAATGATGCAGCAGTGAGGGAGGCCAGCTTGCACGGAAAGGTCCTCCGCCTCTCTGCTCTGTTCTTTCTGCTGAGGCAGACAGGGTTGCCCTCTACCCCATTCACCATGAATACAGCCTAAACAACCTCCATTCCAGGAGATGCTATGCACCCACTCCACTGTGTCCCTCTGTGACTCATGCCACATGGTACTACCCTTCACACACACACATGCATGCACACACGTGCACACCCACACCTCTATGCACCTTTGCCACTGGGCATTTTGGCAAGGGATTCCTTCTTTTAAGGTATACTTAAAAAAAAACTTTAAAAAATTCACTTTGTATATATGGGTGTTTTGCCTGCATGTATGTGTGGGCACTGCTTACATGCGTAGTACCTCGAAGAGGCAGAAGATGTGTCAGATTTCCTGAAACCATAGCTGCAGATGGTTGTGAGCCATCATGTGGGTATTGGGAATCAAAACCAAGTCCTCTGGTACAGCAGTCAGTACTCTTAACAGCTGAGCCATTCCTCAAGCACCCAGCTTCTTGGTTGGCTTTGGGTGTGGTAAGGCTACAACAGCATTCATGTATTGGCAAGAGAGCCTATTAGGCCCTACCCTTGGGCTTCTAGATCTGATTTAGGATCCTCCACCGTCTATAAGGGGCTTGCAGTTTACCTGTTCCCCATGTTTTCTGACATCCATCCCTGAAGCTAATCTTCCATTTCTGTTGGACCCTTGTGCCCATTATCTTCTAGGACAGCCTGCTGCGTCAGATGGACCTCACAGACAATGAGATTCAAGTGATCAGGGCTAAAACCCAGGCACCAGGAGAAGCTTTGCATCAAATTCTGCTGAAGAGGCTCACGCAGATAGGTCAGAGTGCTTCCATCAACAATCTCTGGATGCCTTGAAAGCTGTGGAAGAGAGGAATGCCCTGGACACAATCAAAGACAACGTAGTGAAATCTGGAAAGTTCATTTATCAAAAAGCTACAGCGGAGCCAGGCAAGATGACACTCCAGCACTGAGGAGACAGAGGCAGGAGAATCTCTATGAGTTCAAGTGGTCTATATGGTGAACTCAGAACAGCCAGGATGGAGTGGAAACCTGTCTGAAAAGAACAAGAAGATGTATCAGGCCTAATGTTACTGGGATTAATTTTATTTTAATTTAATTTAATTTTATTTTTCTGTATTTATTATATCATATAATATCATATCATACTGGAAGCTAGACCCAGAACCGCATGAACAGGAGGCAAGCATCTGAACACTAAAATGCATCTCCAGCATCCTGGCTGCCTTGGCTCCTCTCTTGAACTTCTAACTCCCAGGCGTCCAGATTTCTCGCTTCCTCAAGTTGAGTTTGCTGGTTTGGACACATAGGGAACATAAAAAGCATTATCTGGGGTGTCCCATTCTTCACCCCCTTTTCTGCCACTTTCTGGGGAATAAGTAGCATCCTGGCTCCAAGTGCCTCTGGGATCCCCGAGAAGCAACTTTTGTTTGGTCTCATGGCCTGGATTCTCTTTAGTGTGGGTTCCAGTCCTTCTTTACATATACTTAATCTGTCTAGGTGTGTATAACTGGATCTTTTAAACTTTACAACATTATACTTCTGTTTGTTTTTGTCTTATCATTCTGGGTACCAGACAACTATATAGGTATATATAAATACTTACATGTTTACAGGTAGGTGTCACCAAGTGCAGAGACTTGGGAACTGTATCCACACTGATGGAAATGGCTGGTCCATGATCTTGATTAGATTGAGAGGTGCTGGGCCAGGGAGATGACTCAGCAGATAAAGGTGCTTGCCACTGAGCCTGATGACCTAAGTTCTATCCCAGGAACCACATGATGGAAGGCGAGAACAGACACATACACTCACACAGGAACGCACACACACACGCACATACACACACACACACACACACACACCATACATGCACGCACACACACACGCACATACACACACACATACACACACGCACACATGCACACACACACGCCCACACACATACACTCACATAGGAACGCACACACTCACGCGCACGTACACACACACACACACACACGCACGGATGCACACACACATGCACATACACATACATACACACACACGCACACACACACTAAATAAAGAAATAAACAAACAAACGTAATTTTTGAAATCCAAATGGAGAGGTGCCTAGGAGATTGTAGTGCCCACAATGGGTTTGTTTGTAAGGGCATTTCCAGAGGGTTGACATGTAGAAGGGCAACTGAGATAGAAGGGCTTCCCATAGATTGAGTAGCACCATTCCACAGGCTAGGAGCATGAACGGAATGAAAGGGAGGAGAAGGTAGCCGGCCAGTGTTCGCAAGCTCCATTCTTCACAATTTGTCGCTGCTGCCACCATCACCAGTGGACACCCTTCTCCAGCCTCTTTGACCTTTCCACGTGGACTCGGCGACACTCCAAGGAGTCTCGGACTGTCAACCTTGGTTTGGGAGATCTTGGACTGAAAAGCTACATGATTCTGTGGTCCTAGGCAGGCAAGCCAATTTCACGAGTGCCCTTTTAGTATGCTATACTGTTGGTTCTTATTTGGATTTCCCCATCTACGGCCAGGGTGAGGAGATGGGAAATAGGTTAGGCTAGAGGTGCCAATCAGCTCGTCTGCATTTAAGGTTAGTGAATCTGAGTCCTTCCTGGGATCAAGAAAAACGGGAGCAGAGACTTGACCTCAGGGATGGTATGTATGAATGTGAAATACTGGTAACTTATGAATTCTCAGTTCTAGTGAATCTAGCCCTGGGGCACATTGGAGCACAGAAACCCATCATTGAGGACCACTGTACAATGATAAACACTGAAATGCCAGTTCTTTGGGTTTTGGTTTTGAGTCTGGGTCTTGGCTATGAATCCCAGACTGCCTTCCTTCACAACTGCCCTGCCTCAGCCTCCTCGGAGCTGGAATTACAAATGGATATGTTCATCACCATATCCATAAGTCACTATTTTTAAAACACTGTGATAGGGATCTCTGGAGAACTGGCACATTCCGATTTTTGTCCTGTATGGATTCCTATTCTGTTTTTAAAAACTAACTTGTTTTTGAGACAGAGTCTAAATCTGTATGTAGGCTTAGCTGACCTTGAACTCACTGTGTACACCAGGATGGCCCTCAACTCAGAGGTCTGCCCACAGCTGCCTTCCATGTTCTGGGATCAAACAGGTATGCCACCATACCTGGCCCTCATCTATTTTTGTTATTTTAATATTGTTTTTATTTTTATTTATTTTATGAGTGTTTTCCTGCATATATGTGCATGATATGCGTGCCTGGTGCCCGCATAGCTCAGATGGAGGCATCTGATCACCTTGAACTGGAGTTACAGACGGTTTTGACCACACTATGTAGGTGCTTGGAATCAAGCCCAGGTCTTCTGCAAGAGCGAGTGATACAAACCGCTGAACACCCCCTCCTTAGTTCCTCATTATTTCAGCCCTCCTTCTGGCAAAACCTCCTCCAGCCGACTCAGGTCACACAGCAGGACAGCGCCTGGGGGTGGCTGTTCCCAGGCATGCTGTAGTGTCTTGTTGCTGTGGCTTCAGGAGAGAGACCCCCACTTCTGAGTAGTCTCTGCATCGGTGTTCTTATGCTGACATTGTACATCAGGGCTAGCTGGGCTCTATAACCAGCCCCAGCCCCAACAGTAGGTGTGTGTGCCACCCTCATATCTGATGCCCGTTCTTTGTCTCCTTTGGCAATGTGTTGGTAACAAAGCAAAACAAGGCATGCCATTAGGTACAAAATACTCATGTATTATGAATTCATGACCAAATTAAATATGAAACCTTATATAAAAAGGTGTGGGTTTGTTTGCTCCCCCATCCTCTAACACAGTCCTGAGTGACATAGTCCAGGGGAGCATGTTCTTGTGTCACTGACCCCTGCTGCAGGGGCTTTCATGTCACAGGCTTGTCCTGCACTGAAGTGTCTCCTGCTTCTGTCTCCCTGGAATCCAGAGCACCCATGGACTAAGGGGCTTTGCATGTCCTCTTGTCTGCTCATTCACAGACCCCCTGGGTGGTTCTACTAGGCAGTAGGGCTTACCTGACACTGGCTCTGACAGATGTGTGCGGTGGGGGTGGGTCCCTGAGGGGTAAACTGGCCTGGGTGGGGCATGGTCTTCCTTGACCTTCCTCCAACTCCATAAATCCTCCCTTTCTCCCACCGGCCTGTCCATCCTCCTCACCAGTGATGCTCAATTGAGAGACCCGATTCCCCTTGCTCTTTAGGACTGGACTCTACTTCTTCCTTAGATCCCTGGAGATGCATCCCTCTCTCTGTCCTCAAAGGAAGGGGTGAGAGGCAGGCTGACATGCCCTTTCATACTAGAAGTCATTTAGAATTCAGCTGCAGGAGGGCACACTAGCCAGCAGAGGGCAGCATACAACACACTTCCCCAGCCAGCCATTCTGGAGGCCTTGATCACAAGGCAGCTGCAGTCTTGGTGGGTCCAGGTTCAGACTATGGAGCTCAGTACTCGGTGAGACTGGGTACTGCCTATTCCTTCTGACAAGGCAAGATCAGAACTCTAGGTCCCGGTACCAAACAATTATAGGGTTGCATTTGTTTCTGGGTTTGCTTTAATCCCAGACCTAATCAACCTATCCAGGTCCCTGTACCTCCACCTCAAGTCTAAAATATGGTCAAAGGAGCTGAAGTATGGATTATAATTATGAAATGGAAAGGGTCAACTGAGGCCCAGTGTTTGTCCCATGGGGGCTTCAAGCCACTGTGTACATCCTCCAGTCACCCAGATTCCTCCCTGGACTGACATCGTTTCCTTCCCGCTCAGCTATCCCATTCTCTCCTTCCCTTTATCCTCAGCCAGTACCAGGTCGTGCTGTGTGGCCTGCTCCCCAGTGTGTCCTTTTCTGACACTTAACCCCTGCCGAAGGCCTCCCACCCCACCCATCCCATCCCCGCAAGCACAAGCTCCCATCCATTCTGTGAAGTCACCCTTGGAAGAGAAGGCTAGCCTGCATCAAGATGGAAAATGTCCAAAGCCACTTAAGCCTGGAAGCTAAAACCTTCCCTGAAACCCTGCAACCATCAGCCTTGGGCAACAGCATTCTCAGATATGGAGGGGATGCGAGTCTTCTCCCTAAATGCACTGGAGTAGCTGGGACCATTGTCCCTTTGTATCCACATTATTGTAAAGGCCTCCGTTCAGCTTTAGGAAAATGCATATACCCTACAGGGTCTCTTTTTGGAACTTCATTCTTTGGGGCAGGGCGGGGGGGGGGGGGAATACAAAGGATAGAGTGGTCTTGGTGGTGATTTCCTTTTGAGTTTGGTTGTCATTTGTTGGGCTGCTTTTGCCCCGCCCCATAAAAAAGCAGCGCTACCCAGAGATGGGGGAAGAGGCCTAAAGGATCATGGGATTGCTGAGCAAAGCGCCCACCCTTCCCCTTTCTCCTTTCACGTTCAAAATGTGAGGAGTGCAGGAGGGGCGAGGTAGAGGACTCTCATAGGACTAAGAGGTATCGCCCTCAAACCTGAAGCCTAAATCAACGCTGCCACCTGCCGCTAGATGTGCATAGCCTGTAGCCCCTAAAAGATGCTAGCAGGGTGAACTTTACACCATTCTCCCCCGCCCCCAGCAGCCATAACTCATGACATGGGCTCTGCAGACTTCTTTCCTACCCTGACTTCTCAAGCGGGGTATTTAATGCTCACGGAACACTTGTAACCCTTGCGCAGAATACGTGCTACCCTCAAGTCTGTTGGTGAAAAAAAACATGGGGAGGAAACTGCCTCCCCGGCCAAAGCAGAGACCAATACAGACAAACCCACGTCCAGGGAAGTTTTCCTCCATTGGCTCTATTGTCAAGTCCAGAGAGAAAACACCGGAGCTCTGAGCTCTGCCCTGCTCCCCACCTCGGGGCAGATGTCTTCCTGCTCTGCCTGGAATTGGAGGTGGACCCTGTTCTGATCTGCAGGGCCGGGCTCCTCTTGGCCTGAGCCACATTGGCTGGTGAGAACGGCTCTGCCCGTAGGGCCCTGGTTAGGTGAGTTCCCTCGTGCCCTGTCAGGTGGAGAGGATGGTAAAGAAGAGCAGAAGGACAAGGGCTAATGAGGACAACAGCAGCAGGATCAGAAGAGGGTGGCAGCATCTCAGACCACGGCCGAGGAGGAGGAGGACGGGGACGCCGAGCCCGCTGCTGAGGAGGACGGTGATGAGGGACTGTTCCAGAACAGCCACCGCCGCTTGGGCTGCCTCCGCAGGTGTAAGTAGTCCTCTTTCTCGCGTTCCTTCCGCGCGCGCTGATAGTGGTCCTCTTCTTTCAGGTACCAGACTGGTGGCCACCGGTGCTTCTCAAAGTACTCCTGGTTTTCTACAGTACAATGCAAGCGGCGCTAAGTTAGGAGGTAGCCCCAGCTCAGCACCAAGCCCACCCGTGCCCACGGTCCAGGTTAGCTCCTGCTGCAGGCTGCAGGGGCTGGCATAGACACTCACCTGGGGACATGGCCTTCATGTCTCTGGGGAACTTGCGGCACACGTTGTTGTAGTTGGTGCAGATGTGGTGGAGACACCAGTCGGCCAACTGATATGCACAGTGGAACTGTGGATGGTACAGAAAAGCATCCCTGTTGGAGCAGGAACTCTGCATAGAGGCCCCATGTCCATGGAGCAGCAGCAGTGGGCAGTGCCCACACATGCTCTGCAGTCATAAAGGGCTTACCCTCCAAGCGAGTTAACCCAGAACCAAGGAAGACAGTGCTTGATGTAAGCTCCTGGACCTTAGTACCAACCCCACAATTGCCTCCAGCACGGTGCTACTGATATTCATGTCCCACATGCC